GAAGCATAGGCAATGACAGCGTAGCGACCGTCGTCTTGCTGCTGACGTTGGACAGCGCCCAGGCCATACGAGGAGGCATCCGCCGTGACTTTAGCTAATCTCTTCGGGGAGTACATCGCGAGGGCTGGATCTGATGGGAGTAGTCTTTTCCAGTTTGAGAATGATTTTTCCTGCGCGGTCTCCCAGACGAACTCTTGCTTTAATGACGACATGCTTGACAGTGGTTGTAGCAACTCCGCCATGTTAGGTACAAAACGACCTAAGTAGGTGGCCATGCCCATCAGTCGTCAGAGTTCAGTCTTGGAGGTTGGCCTCGGCATCTCAGTGACGGCTTTTATCTTGTTCTCGACAGGTCTTACGTGGTTGTTCTCGATGATATGCCTCAAGTACTGTATCTTCGTGACGCTAAAACTGGCATTTGTCTCTGTTCAGGGTCACGCCTGCGTCTCGAACTCGCTCGAGAGTAGCGCGGAGTCGTTGTTCGTGCTGTTCCTTCGATGATCCCCAGACAAGGATAACGTCCATGTGGCAAGCAACCCCTTCAAGACCCTGGAGAATGTCACTCATGCGCCGTTGGAAGTATTCTGGGGCAGAGCAGATTCCAAATAGTAGGCGATTAAAGCAAAACCGACCGAAAGCTGTGACGAAAGTGGTCAGCGCTTTACTTTTCTCGCTTAAAGGAATCTGCCAAAATCCTGATGTGGCATCCATTTTTGAGAACCAGGAGGCTCCTTGCAGCGTCCCAAGGGTGTGTTCCACCGCTGGAATTGGATGCCATTCACGTAGAACGAACTTGTTGAGCTCTGTATAGTCTACACAGATCCGCAGTGCTCCTGACGGTTTGGGTACCACCACCATTGGAACACACCAAGAGGGGGGTTCTGTTACGGCGGTGATGAAACCGATTTCTTGCATCCGTAGAAACTCCTCTTTTGTCTTCTCATACAGGGGTACAGGCAGCCGACGAGGAGACGTGAGAGCATGCGGAGTAGCTTCAGGTCGAAGCAGTATGTCACACTCTTGTTGTAACTTGCCAAGACGTTGGAAGACCTCCGGGAAGTCTTTGTCGACGTTCAACACCGAAACAGAGTTGAGGGAGCTGAACAGCCCTAAGTTATTGATGGCTGGTTTGCCGAGAAGTGCGGTGCGGAGTAGCGGAAGGATGTAAACATCTTCGACGCTTTCTCGGCCGTTCAACTTAAAATGGAGCTTGGTCAGTCCCGGGATGCGAAGAGCTTTTCCATCAGGTCCCTGAAGTCGACGTGTTGTGGGGTTTAGAGGGATATGCTTGAAATGCTGATGGTACTGTCGTTCTGGAATGACAGTCTCGTCCGCCCCTGTGTCGATCTTGAAGATCAGTCTTTTCGCTTCTACTTGCAGAGTGACTTCCCAGGTTGACGAGGTAGTTTCACCCACCAAACCAAGGAATCCTGGCTTTTTTTCGATTGTCTGCAGCATTTGCACCGACCGGCAAAGAGTCGCATAGTGACCTTTCTTTCCATACTTTTGGCACGTGCCATTCTTTGCTGGGCAGAGAGCTCGCGCGTGCCGCTCTTTACCGCACCGGCCACATGAGCGGGCTTGATTTTTCTTGCCGCTGCCTTTTGTGGGTTGATGCTGCGCCTTAGACTGTGGCTTGGCGTCGGAGTCGTGTTTAGCAGGCTTGTTCTTTCTCGCGTGTAGGGCATCCACGGCTACAGTTTCTTTGAGATGGCCCTGACGGAGTTCTGCCTGTTGTAGCTGAGGAGACTCGTTTTAACGCGCCATGGTGAGTGCCTTCAAGAGTGTGAGGTCGGGGTCTAACTGAAGAGTTTGCGACACCTTGTGATTCTTGAGGCCTACGACTAGCCTATCTCGGGTCAGTTCCTCGCGGAGTTCTCCGAAGTTGCAGGTGTCCGTTAGGGCATGGAGAGCTGTAGCAAAATCTTCGACGGACTCACCGTCCAGCTGGACTCTGGTGTTGAATTTCGCCCGTTCGAAGATGACGTTTCTTCGAGGAATGAAGTAGTTGTCATAGCTCTTGAGCACCACGTCGAAGTTTTTCTGCTCATCGGATGTCAACTTGAACGTGTTGAAAATGTCCTCTGCCAGGGGGCCCATTAGGTACACCAGCGTGTCGACTTGACTCTCCCTTGGACGGTCGCAGAGTCCCGAAGCAGCGCGGTAGCGCAGGAACCGCTTCTTTCATTGAGGCCAGTCTGACGGCGACGAAACCGTGAATGGGTCAGGCGGCGTAATCTGGAACGAAGTCACGTTCCCTGGCTTGGACGTTCCATCCGGTTACGGAGAATCAGGTCCGTCGGCAGTTGAAGAGCATAGGTCCGTAGTGCAGGCCGTAGAGGTTAAAGCCAGGTTAAGGTTTCAGGACAAGGGCCATTAGGGTGTGCTGACCTGTCGTTCGGGAGAAGAGCAGCGGTCAGCGTATCCCACTTCTGACACCATATGTTTGATAGATCGTCCAGCGCAGCGCGAAGCGCGAGGCGCGTGCTCTTTAATTCCTTTTCCTCTACAAGCTGTACATATATACAACGAGACTACAGCGCTATATTGGCGACGTGAGCGATCGAAAGCGTCGCTATGGTCGGCCCACTACAATTGGTCGAATGCTGACTATGACGTCAGCAAAGGATGTCTCATCGACGGAAATAAGAGGAATGTAAGAGCTTCAATTTTTACGGTGTTGGCAGTGTTGCTTTGCGAGCGCTATGATTTCAGGCTTCCACCGTGCTCATTACAAACACCATTGAACTTGTTGTTCACAAGGTAATGACGTCACGAAAGGTAACCGAACGAGGGCGCCACCGAAACATCTCGCCGCTAATATAAGAGTCTGTGTCTCACAATTCCCTAAGCTTCAGACCTCGCAGAACGTGGATCATCTTGGTACAACCTTCCGCGAGTAGGTCTAATGACATTGTTTTGAAATAACAACCTTAGAACAGATAACTTATCGTTCAGAACAAGCGTGTTTGCTTACAAAATCAGCGAAACTTGCGCATGCAAAGAACCCTGATTTCAGAGCGTGAAACCTTTGTCCATGACTTTTGCCGGCAACATTGCCAGGTTGGCTTTCCGTCAAAAATGCAGGTTGATTCGTGCTAGTAGACCTTGTGCGAGAAGAGTACTGCGCAACCGGGCGTTATCATCAAACAGCCACAAAAGCTCTAAGTATTTGCGGTGATGGATACTAAAAAGACAGAAGTTTCCTTGAAGACATGCGCTATATTTCTTACCGCCTCCGCAACTCATATGTTATTATTTTCTCTACACGAGTCTCACGCTATTACGCGCAAAACAAACTTCATGAAAATGAGCGTTAGGCGTAACACTGATACTACTGGACCAAAGCCCGGAATTATCGCAGACGTGTGCCTACAGGCCTTTCTCGCTTGTGTTGTTTTGGTCGCTAATCTACCATTCTGCTTGCAGAATGAGCCTAGCGAAACTGAATGCTAGACTGAAACGATTTGAGAGTATAAACCTGAATTTCTCTAATAAAAATGCAGGTGAATCGAGAACCGGCTGTAGGACGTAGCTTGGTCTTGACCCCGCGGAGCTATTCAGTGATTGAAGCCAGGTCTCAAATAAACGAGCTCATTCATGCGGATTCATCTGTTCATTCATTCGACTTTATAAAGCTTAGTTCATGCGCCGTACCCTTAGTTCTTTCTTTGCGTAAAAGAGGCTCACTTTAAAGGCTTAAAAGTAAACAACTTCGACAGAAATCTGTCTGATTATAAAAAATTAAAGAAAAAAATTAAGAAGGATCGAACCTCACTACAAAAGTTCTATCAACATTCCCGACGGTTTGGGACCAGCTCGACCCTTTATCACGTGTGACTCTGAGGTAGATGTAGTAGAGAACTGTTTGTTTTTTTTTCACGGTGTGGGAGAGCTTTAAGACGTAAAGGTTTTGGCAGAGTTTGCAACGACCTGCTAATAATCTTTTTTTATTGTGTGTGTGTGGATGCACCAGGATTCTAGATGCAGACGTTTCCGCCAGTGTTACTCTCACAAGAGGATCTCGCTTTTGTCGGAGGACACGCAGTGACCTGACTTCGCTGCGTGTTATGTGAGGGCACTTGCTTGAGGGTAGCTTTCATTGAAGTTGTATTTGTGACGTAGATGCGTTCTAAGAAGGAACGCATCTACGACACCGTAGATGCGTTCCGGGCTCAGGCCTCGAGACTCCTCTTTTTCCGGTCTTGTCTTGGTGAGAGGGAGTCGACGACGGAGGGTTAGGATTCCATGTTTTCGGAGTGTATTTCTCGTGAACTTCGGAGGGTGCTTTACGGAGTTTATTTTTTGCTCGGGAATTGGGGTTAATCGGAGTTTATTTTTGTTAGATTCCCAATTCTTTGCTATTTGTAGTTTATTTTACTACGTAAAATTTTTTAAAAATTTTAGAAACTAAATAAAAAAAGGTTCAGGTACCATCACCCGTGGTCCTGAAGGAATCTAGACGTGCTAAAAGGCAAGCCCCTTTTGTCAGTAATTCTTGATTTCAAAGGAAACTGAAGTGAAATATCCTCGGGACCACTGACCTTCTGCTCTTATAAATTTTAGTTGGAAAAATTCGTCTTTTTTGATGGTTATTTTGTCGCTGTGACCTCGAAATTCGGAGTTTTCGGATAACTCTGAATTGACAGAAAAATTACCGGCGAGTGCTTTTCGGATTTTCCCGGTTTTATACAAAGGCACGGAAACTTGCGGATGGTGGAGACCGGCTTGTGAGTCGCCACTATCCCATGTTGTTCGAAGGGTGCGTCTGATGGACTCGGCGACGTTCATTACACGCAGTAGGCGGATATGGCTGGAAGGAGCCGGGGTCGAATACAGACGGAGGCGGCTGGTTCCGAAACGTCGGAAATTTCTTTGAAAACTTTGGTTAGAGTTTTAATTCTTCATCATTCGTAAAGACGGCCACGCTATCTCAGACCACGTCTGCAAACTGTTCTGAACTCTTCGGCTTAGTCGTCGACGATTTATTTCAGACAGAAACATGGACGGCAGTACTGGAGAAAAAACGTGGGCCCGTTAACGTGAGCGTCGTAGTGATGACAAAGCAGCGAGGTCACGAGGACGCCATAAGGGCCGAGAGCTGCATTCGACACGTCCAAAGCACCAACATGATTGTGATATACAGCAGAGTCACCAAGGGTGGCTTCCGAGTACTGAATGCCAACGTCACGGCCACCGTCACCCTGCCCGGAAAGGATGAAACGGTATTTCTGCCTTTACGGGACGACGGCAAAGGTAATCTCAGAACTTGCATAGCCTGGCAATTGGTCATAAAAGAAAAACGTTCGCCCAGAGGAGCTATTCGGGAGTACTAGGTCCGGCAACATAGTTTTCGGTTAAAACGTTTACTTTGGATATACTGCGTTTACTAACAGGTCAAACCACATTTTGTTTTATCCGAAACGATTGAAAGCTATGCCTGAACATTACCCTCAAAATTCGAAACATGGGAACTCAGTATTCCTGAAGTAAAAAAACAAGTTCCAAAAGCTGAATTTGAAGTTCCCGCGTGATCCGCACCTAGTGCAGTGACGTCAAAGTTTGAGTTGTCCTTCAACTCGAGTTTCACTCACGCCTCCTAACCGTGCAAACCGGAAGTTTCGTGTTCGCCCTCGTCCTGCGATCGCCGCGATCACGCTCTTCTCCGTGTCCGCCGCCTATCGTTTTGAGCAGACGACGGTTCACTCTCGAGTACGAAGTTTTTCTGAGACCATTTCATCGATCTCAAATTTTCCTAAAGTGTGACGTCGAAGAGATTGTGCAGTGGAGTTTTGTGGGCGACATAAGGGTCCACGTCGGCCCGGTTCTGAGTGAAAGGCTGCCCCGGCGGTGTCACAACCGAAACTACGGTACACAGACACCAAGCCCAGTTGTTTTGACCGTTTGCTGATTTCCTTTTCGAAGTCTGAGAGGTTGTCGGGCACCGAAAAAAGAGAACTTCGTCTGATTTCCTGACCCACCGACAATCCTCAGTGCTGCATCTGCCGAGCGCCACCATGTTGTCCAAGAAGGATAAAAAGCCAGGACGCGGCATCAATCCGGACTCCGATTTTCGGTATTTCAAAAAGAAGGGTCGTAGTGCGTTCGCCATTGCGTTAAAAACATGCTTTACGAATGGGGTTATTAAATATTATAAAAATGTTGCGTACGAAACTTGTCAATTTCATAACTTTTCACGTCACAAATAAAAGAAGCAAGGAGGTGTTACGAGGGAGAGCAATACGCTAAAAATAAAAAGGCGCGCGCGGGCATGAGAATTTTTTTTTTTCGCGTTGTAATATTTTTGTGTTTATGACTACAACTTGCATCGTCTTAGTCAACAACAAAAAAATGCGAGCTTAGGGATGTCGGGCTGAGACGAAAAGCTCCGCCTTCAGCGCGAGCTCGCTGGCTTCCGCAGTTCATCGGTTGCGCGTGATTGCGCGTTCGCCCTTGTGTTAGCAGGGTCAAGAATTTCGCGCTGAAGGCGGAGCTTCCACCCTCGGCTTAAGGGTGAACGGTGTATAGTAGTTGGTTCAGAACGCGAAATATAAAAGCACGAAAATGATAACGACGAACGAACGTACAGTGTTAGGCATACGTGAACGGAACACGTGAATTGTGTGTTTTCTATTGGAAGAGCTATTCTTTGGTGCAGCCGAATAATGTCCATGACGTAGCGCACAATGCAAAGGCCCAATCAAAAGAGGTAGCTGGCTAAAACCTGAATTGGTCATGTTTAAAACCGGAGCGCTCCTAAGGGATGAGGGACATTCTCAAAAACAACGGTCAACGAAAGTCTGAGTTTCGGTTACCTCCACTGTACCACGGCCAGCACTGTCACCGCGGACCTGGACCTCGCATCCCACCCCGGGTTACCTCGCCATAGTCTTCGTGGATTGTTCGACGTGTAAATGTGATGCAGCCGGTATACTTATCTTTTCGTGGGTTCATCGGACGTTGAACTATTAAAGGTCAAGGCAATCCGCGTCGCAACAGTGAAAGGAAGGAGGACAACAACTTACGAATGATAGAAAATTCTGAAAGCCCATTGCGAGACTAGGTACTGGCCCTCCTCGAAGTTTAACAAAGTTGAAAACGAGCACACACACAGACGCACACCTAGCTCGTGTAGATCGTGCAGCAATCGGTACAGAAATTAGCTTCGCAGTTGCGACGTGGTTTGCTCTCGCTTCGAATGTTTACCTCATAATAAAGTCACAAAAAGAAACTTATAATTTTACTGCATCACTCGCGCATGTAAATCAATACACGCAGACTGCGGCGACATACGCTACGATGCCGTACAAGGTAGCGGTACGCTGGTTCGGCAGTTGGCCGTGGTACATGGAGAAAATCGAGACTTCACTTGACAGTTGTGTCCCTTAATGCCAGTCAGCCGCTAGGGGAGCTCCGGTTTTGCACATTACTTATGCTCGACTGAACTACGGACGTCGCGAAAAGTTTGCCTGGCGTGCTGTCTGCACTTTCTGCCACCCTCGCGTACTACAATATAGTGCATAGGTTAATACCGAAATCGCCAATTATTAGAGGGCTGAGCATTGTTTAGCAACACGACATGCGTAAAGATTTTTGTATCCAATCACTCAGGTTATAGGCAGCCAAACATATGCATCTTAGTTAAAGAAGACGGCGATAAGTGTGAGTAAGCCGGCCAGCAAAATTCCCGCGTTACACGGACAAAGCTTGTTGTATTTTCGTTGCTGGCACCCGCCTCGAAGAAAGACACAACGCACCGCACCGGCTCAGCACAATGCGGACATTTATTGGTCCTCATCGTTGCAAGCCGCTACCCAAAACCCCCGCAGAGCAACGGCCTTTTGTAAACGACGGAACTTCTCAATGAAAAGGCCGATTCCGCTAGGCCTCCTCGCGGAGGAGATGGCCAGAGATTACTTAACACGCGGACCGGCTTATCGAGCGCTATGTTCCACCAGAGTGCATACAAGCTAACGTTGCGTTTTTGGCCTTTCATCCGTCGTTACCCAGGCGCGGATGTGAAAGCAGACGACGGCGAGTACGCATCCTACTTCACCCGCTACCAAAAAAAAGGAAGGTACAGCGTTAGAACCGACGTGACGGTGGACCCGAGCGCTCGACTGGGACCCGCGAGGCCGGGGACGAATGCACCACCCCCTCCTGGGATACTGCGTGCTGCGAGATTGAGAAGAGGTAAGCGTAATCCGACACGAGCTGTAAAAGACCATGGCTATACGCAGGGTATCCGTGGTCAGACAGTATCGCCTGTGTTCTGTTGCAACGCCAAATCCTAAGAGAGGATCCACCTACAAAAATAAACCTATATTAGCAGTCCTGCGTGAATGTATAGTAGTCATGTCTGTGGAAATTGAGCATCGTCAAAAGTTTCAGCGCGTTTGTCACCTGGGGTGACCCATGGATTCACTGACGATGACCTAATGCGGAGGCCCCGTTATTTCGGGTACTGGATGGATGAACAAGGCTTGCTCCGCCCAGCCGAAGCTTTGAATTTCACCCATTAATGTTGGAATTAAGTATGAATAATGAAGAAACTTTTATCCCGACGTCAGAGCAACTACGGCAAGCAACTACGCGAGACCCGTACGCACTTGTATGATCAGGATATGCGAATAAAGGCGATTGCCGAAGCTGAGGCGTATAGCCTTGACGTAACGCGCCGCTTCACACGCAGTAGACGGAGATTTCGAATCCTGAAAACACCGCGGCGGTTGGCGATTTTGTTTTCTCAAGCATTTAACGATACCGCCGACTGTCGCCCTACGCCCTACGCTAAGCTACGCCAGATACAACTATAACGTCATCAACCAAAACGGACGTCATTTCCAGTGGTGGGAAGAACCGATTTGCAGCTCTCGCTGTAAAAAGCAAAGCCTCGCTCACGCAGAACAAAGCTGGTGTACCAGTGGACACCGACTGGTACACTAATTCTCAGTGGCAGGTGTGAAACAACGAGGATCTAAAGATTTTACTAAAAAAAAGATTAAGTTTAATTTTAAAATCACTACATGCGGTTATTCGCAAAAACAAATGCCTTTAAGCACAGTTTTTTTCCACGCACTATTTCGGACTGGGACTTGCTACCAGAAACCATTATTCAGTCAGCCAATTTCATTCAGGCATTAGAACGGTACCTAATTCGATAATGCATTCCGCAGCAGTGGTCTTGTCTTCTTTTGTATTATTGTTTTTGTCATTTTTTCATGTGCACCCATATGTTTCATTTTTGCCCCTCCTGCTTGGGCCAGAGAACTGGCCTGCAGTATTGTAAAATAAATAAAATAAATAAATAAATAAACATTCAACCGCCTATTTCGCGGTGTCCCATTCTACGACGCTTAGGAAGGGGTGAGCATTTACCAAGTAGGGCATTCTTCTGCCGGCATTTGAGAGCGGATCTTGTCCCGAAACTTTTATGTGCGTCCTGACTGGGTAGTCTACGAAAAAAAGCACGCGCCGAAGGCACGTGTAGCTAGATTTGGCAGGCTTTCAATGCCTGCCATGCTATCAAGCATCAATTGCTTCATTGGCTATCCGTCACGCCAGGTCTCCACTTGCCAAAAGATGCAGAGACGTGGCGGCAGCGACCGGAATATCTGGTCAGAATCGCAAACCTCCGTCCAGCCATGAGCAAGAAACTCCGAAATTCGAATGGAGTAAAGGCGCCAGACTCCCGTTTCTTTGTGTGGCCACATACCAGCGTTGCGGTTGTGTCACAGCCAACGAGTGTGGAGCTTTAATATTCTCCTGCGCATATGTTAGTAAAGAAATGCATGTACTCTCTTTTGAGAGTAATATATTTTTAATATTATGAATTCATTCATACAAACCGTTCAGGTAGCGTATTTTCACATGGTCTAGGTTTTGTGTCCGAGTGACAAGGTCCGGGTTCCGAGTGCCAAGTACTAAGGACACGGACTCCGTCAATCCAACAAAAATTGTAATTTTGTCCTTCAGTACATGCGGAAGCAAAAAAAAAATGAAATTTGAAAATTTATTTTTTACCAATTTCATTTCCGCCTACGTTTCTAGAAAATACCAAGAGTTCTTATTTCCACAGTGCCACTGTTCCAAATCTCGAGCAAATTTTTTTTTCTCTAAGGAGTGGACAACGCAGTATCCATTGTTTCGTCATTGTTTTATTTATTTTTTTTTTTTTTTGCCGCCACGGCGCGAAAAACTTTCTCGACTTCTTAGACGCCTACGTCTTGACACTGCGAAGCAAAGTCTCGCTGTTTTCAAATGGTCTGTGTTTGGTGCTACACTATACTGTTGGTCTTGTATTCAACCTTATTGCGGCTCAAAATTCGTGTTCAGTGTGTGTTATACATGCCTGATTTCATCTCATCTTGTGCAAAAAGAAAAAAAATAGACCCTAAAAAAATTGTGAAAAAAAACAAATATCTTGGTGTAAAATATGTGACTAGGACAAAACTGCAAATTAGAACTACGGAACGTTATTTGCTCTTGCGTTTGGAGCTTCAAAAGAGCAGAAGGTTTGTGTACGTCTTGCCATGTTTGCAGCTTTCATGAGTGGCAACCTTTGAACTCTCGAAATTTTTCTATTTTTGAATTTTTGAGTTTTGCACCTTTGATAACAATAGGCCAAGTTTGAATCGAGCTGGCTTTCGATGTACGCTTATTTAAGACATAAGAATCTTTAAATCAGAGTCTGTATCCAAGCCAATTAAAAATAATATTTTTTCAAGTATACATTATATAAAAGAAGAACACTGCCAACTTGAGATGAAATGCTTAAAATTCGAAATTCAACGTCATGTAAAAAATGCGTAGTTTTTATACTGTCCTATTTTTAATACGATACGCTTTATAAGTGTTCTTATATATGCAATAAAATTTATTTTACCCATATGATTTCGTCCTAATAAACCGTGCGTTTAAAAATTCCATATATGTTACCTCCATTCTAATATAAAATGACATGGGCCGTTGCCAAATCTTTTACTTATTATTATATATATGCTTGTAACGCGACCAAACTATTTATGATATATCTCACGTAGAAGATTTTGACGGGCGTGTTGGGACAGATGTAACAGTGAGAAAGCACGAAACGAGCAGGAGGAAGAAAACAGACATGATGTCTAATCCTTTCTCCTGCTCGTTTTGTGCTTTCTTACTGATACAACTTATGTATCATTGAGTAAAAAAAGCGTGTCTGGTACATTAGAATTTAAAAAAAGTCCATGCACATGTCCAGATCACTTATAAAGTCTTATGATTGACAACTTTTCTTTCAATCAATTTATTTAAACCTCATTTTTTCTTTAAAAACCATAAAAAGTAAGCTTCACAAACCTGTATTTTCGGCAATAAAGTGGCGAGATAAATTATTTTCAGATGCATACCGGGCCGAGTGCGAAATTTCGCTTCTTTCATGCGGCCGCATTTTCACGTACACAGGCGAGGTTCGCTCAAAACTTCTCGAGTTTCTTTTTATTTGAGGCAGTAACAAATCACACAGATAAACGGAGGAAATGGATGACAATACATAGCATATTAAGTATTATAAGCTCACAGTAACGTTTATGGTGATAAAAGAAACTGATTTTAAGGGAGGTAAACATTACTCTTTAAGATTCACTTTTTTATGACAACCTTTTATCACGTGCTAATTTGTTACGCGCAGTCGTTCTGTGCATATGATCGTATGCTCAGCGTATAAACTTATGCTTTGTTCAATACACCGCTCGTTCGTCGCTTGAAACGCAACTGCCTACAAAGTTGTAAATGAAAAAGAGAAAGAAAAAGAAGCAGGCGATCCGTTGTTAGCGCCAACTGTGCGCCCATATTTGTACACCTCAGGAGGGCCGAATAGTAGGTGTAAAAATGTTCGCCGTCCACGGGTAAGGAGGACACACGCAAAGACGCATAAAATGCCGACTGTTTGTTTAGAGCCGTGTAGCTTACATAAATAATTGAGAAACCCTAATTGACTGGCATTACCTCTCTGTCATCCTCGGCAGGGCCTGGAAAGATGTGCGCAGCGTCAAACTCATCTCCAGAATGCAAGAAAAAAAGCTTGGGCAAGTTAGCGGAACAGAGGCTCCCATTTCGTCCTTTCTTGAAGGGGAGCATGCGCAGAGGTCATCGATATGTAAGTGAAACCCTATAGACACCCTTAACTCGTTGACGTCACGGGACGGCGGTGACGCTGCTGTCGGTACTGCGCAAGCGCTGCACTCCTCTCGAGTTGGGTTTCTGCGCACAGTGCTCATACCTGGTGTAGGTAAAGCAGGCTTGTCTGCGAACTCTGTGTTGGTGGATAGGTGAACAAAATAATGCACGAAGAATTGTGGAATTCCACGCGCGTCTCTCCTAGCAAGCGCGCCCGTGGCCGAACGGTTATCGTGCTTGGCTTCCAAACAAAGGGCTGAGGCTCGACAACACCGCCTCCAAAAAAGATGTCTCGAATGACAATTGATAAGGCGACGAGTCGCGAAAGCAAGCTATGAACGTTTAACGGGGCCAACTTGTGCCCAAAACAAAACAGAAGGAGCTGCTAGCGTCGCAGGCGTCCATGTCAGTGTAATAACAGCATCGAGAGCTGGGACGAGACTGACTTCGGCTCGCCGATCGTGGAGCCCCATTTACACGCGTGGTGCTTTTGAAACAAGCGGCGTATTATAAGGTTCGGTGTGTAGAATATTCGAAAATCGAACGAGCAACAAGGTTATCGAATTTACCAGAAAGCGACATTTACAAAAAACAACAAAATGGTGCGTCCACTCCCAGGCATCGAACCTCAGCCCTTTGCATGGGGGCCAAGCACTATAATTCCTAGATATATTCCTAGATTTTCGGAAAGCTTTTGACTCTATAAAGCATGATATTCTTCTTAGAAAACTACAACGATATGGTATAAGGGGATTAGCTCTCGAACTTATCAAGAATTACATGTAAAAGCTTGGTCTGCTGGGCAAGCTGGTAGTGGACATTCATATTAAAAATAGCGCAAAAGAGACAGGACAAAAAGACGAAGAAGCACACAGGACAAACGCGTTTGTCCTGTGTGCTTCTTCGTCTTTTTGTCCCGTCTCTTTTGCGCTATTTTTAATCTGAAAGAATTACTTATCAGCTTGAAGACAATTCACATCTCTAAACGGTTTTACATCACAAACTTCCCTTATACAGTTCGGCGTTCCTCAGGGTTCAATCCTCGGACCTTTGTTATTTTTGGCATATATAAATGACATAGTTAATATACCGCGAACCCCCGATGTTATCCTGTACGCGGACGACACCAACGTTTTCTTTTCCGGGACAAATCTCGATGAAATTGAACAGTGTGCAAATTGCTGGCTTAATGAGCTATCTCAGTGGTTGCGGTCTAACCAAAGTTAAACACAGCGAAGACAAAATATGTTATATTCAGGTCCAGAAATAAACTTGTTCAGCGTAAGTTGAATGTTACATTTTTAAACTCTACGATAGAAAGCACTTCGGCTCATAAGTTCCTTGGGGTTTGGTTTGAGGAGTTTTTAAGTTGGACGAACAATGTAAATAAAATTAGATGTGATATATCACGTTCAATTGGTATACTGAATAAAGTCAAACACTTGTTACCAAACTGGCTTAAACTGCAGCTTTACTATACTCTTGTGTATTCCCGCCTACAGTATTGTCTTTTATTTTGGGGAACCACGACAAAAACAAACATTGAAAAAGTTTTTCTTTTAGAAAAGAAGGCCGTTAGGTTCATAGATAATTTAGGTTATATTCAGCATACATCGCCCACATTCGAAAAATGCCAGCTATTACCCATCGGACATGTTTTTTCTATTAAATTAGCGAACATTATATTTGACGAGATAAAGCGGGATGAGACCTCTTTCTTCAACGCCTACCTTCATAAGCCTGCCGATTGCACTCTTAGACACACCTTTTACATCAAACAAAATGTTAGAACAAACTATGGAACTCAAACACTTCATTATCAAATCGCTGACTTACTAAATACTCATGCAAATATAGTTCAAACGGTACACAACTGTAGCAATCTCCAGATGTTTAGGAAAATGATCAAATTATATTTTCTTTCAATCGAACAATATGCACCTGCCACTTGTGCCATTAGTTCAAATGTGCAAATGTGATCAATTATATTATATGTAACAGTGTTTGTTATTTTTCACTCAACTTTGTGACTCTTCAAATGTTTTCATCTGTAAACTTATTTTGATGTGAATTAGGTAATTGATGTTCATTTTTTTCGGTATCCTTAGAAGTACGTGCCGAGTGCTGTAATGGGGGCTGGTGGCCACGTCAGAGGACTTCGCGTCTTCTTTTGCCGCAGCCTCCCAGACATATGCATGTCGAAATGATGATGATTAACTTTATTTTCAAAAAGGGTGGCGCCATGGCCTCAATGGGGGAAGGGGAACATAGGTAGGAAAAGTTTACATTCGGCGGTGCACTCCTGTCGAGCGCGTGAACTCCCATAGGGAGATCAGCGTCTCCCTGGCCCGTGCCTCGTTAACCGGTGTGATCCAGGCCTCTAAAGTGTCGATGTGAGGCCCCAGGTGTTCGGCTCTTTTGTCTCGCAAGCCGGCACAATCCCAGAGTAAGTGTCGGATCGTCGGGCTCACGCCGGCGGTGCATGTAGTGCAGACGACAAGTGCAGCGGGCTCGGACCCTTCTGGTGGCACTTGGTCGGGTGGGCGGCCCCTCCGTGGTTTGTAGCTACGCCACCGAGCGAGTATGTCTTCGGTGAGCGCAGGGGCCTTGTGAATTAACACTTGTGCCCCTCTGGGTAAACCCTTGGGTAGCGGTGCCGGGTTGTAGGGTGTTTGATCTCGCAGCCGACGCTGATCCTCTTGTCGGGCCGCAGATTTCTTCTCTATGGGGTCTGGGTCCGGCGGCGCGAAGGGGACGAAGATCCCTGGGTTGGAGCGGTCTTCCCTTTGCTCGCTCGCCCACGCGTGTGCGGCCTCGTTACCAATGCCGCCCGCGTGTCCCGGGACCCAGTCCACTCTCACCTCAATACCTTTGGTGTTTTTCAAATACGAGCACAGACTCTTGATTCGCTGGCAGAGCGTCCCTTCGCGAGGAGTTTTCCCCAGACGGGCAGGGGCTTCCCTACAATCCGTGAAGATGGTTACACGGGTAGGTACGTCCACTGGGTCGAATGTCTCTCTTATTCGAGATAGTGCCAGGTGTATTGCATCCAGTTCGAGGCGGCTCGTGCTAGGTTCGCTGTTGTATTGAAGTGTCTGAGCATATCGGTCCTGGCCAGTAGCGTAGGCGAGTGTGGCCCGCTTCGTCTCTTGGCACCATGCGGCGTCAGTGAAGACCGCGTGCTCCACGAGGTCTGCCCGTGCAGCAAGTGCAGCTCGTTCTTCTGAATGTTCTTCGCGGTGTTGTTTGCGAGTGAGCGGCTTGGGGTTTCTGACCATAATGTCCTCCCATGGTGGCATGCTCTTCGGAGGCGGGGCCTCTCCTACGGGAGGCCGCCAACTCTGTAAATCCAGAAGACGTTGACCGGCTCTAGTCGATGTCCGGCGCCGCTGATGGCCGGCAACGCGGGTCTCAATGATGGCTTGTAGAGTCGGAAGATTCGAGTACCGATACAGCTCTTCCGTCTTAGTGTGTCTTGGGAGACCGGTGATTGCACGCAGGCATTCACGATGCAATATTTCCAGCTGTTTGAGCTGCGCCTTGGTCAGGACGAAACATGCGGCTCCATAGCAGGCTTTTGAGGTCAGGACTGCTTGAGTGAGCAAGCGGATGGTGCGCGTGCCCGGGCCACCGAGGCGGTTGCCCATTCTCTTAATGAGTTGGAGCTGTTGTCGCCACTTGGGTTTGAGTTGCTTGATCCACTCTTGCGCTCCTCTTTGTTCGTGCAGTGGGACTCCCAATATGCGAATCCAGCGTTCGGGGGAGCGCTGAATGGACTGGCCGGCCAGGGTCAGGTGTATTTGAGCTCTGTTGTGCTCAAGACCGCCGACAGTGAGGAAGGCTGTCTTCTCTGGGGAAGGTTGCATGCCCGTAGTTTGCAGGCACTGGTCAATGGCATCTAGGGCCGTCTGCATGGTTTCGACCGTTTCTTTAGTGTCGAGCTTTGTGTTTCGGGGGTCCACCCAAAGGGTGATGTCGTCCGCATAAGTTGTGTGCTGAAGGTGTGGGACGGCGCGCAACACTCTTGCTATTTTTCTCATGACCAAGTTGAAAAGGGTCGGCGAAAGGATGGCTCCTTGAGGTACTCCACGGAAATTCTGGAACATGCGGGGTTGCTGGGCGCCCGAGCTGATCTCAAAGGTACGATTCTTGAGGAAGCTTTTCACGAAATTGATTATGCGGGTGCCTGCGCCACTCTCTTCGAGTTCCTCGATCACTGCCGAATGCTCGACGGTGTCAAAAGCTTTCCGGAGATCCACTTCCACCAGGAGTCCGGGTACCTTGTTGGTTCCTCGGCGCCTCTTACCCACAAAGTTTCGGAGGAGGTGTAGGCTGTCGTGGGTGCACAGTCCGGGGCGAAAACCAGTCTGCGCAGCATCGTAGTAAGGGTCGTCCTTGGCTTCTTCCAAGACATAAGTGAGTCGCGTAAGGATCATCCGTTCGAGTAGCTTGCATAGCGTAGACGTAAGTGAGATTGGTCGGAGGTTCTGTATTTGATCCGGACTCTTTCCTGGTTTCGGAATAGGGTACACCACTGAATGTTTCCAGTCGGCCGGTAGTACTCCTGACGCCCAGACGTCGTTAAGTTCTTTCAGGAGCTTTCGTTTCTCCGGCTCGACCAGGTTGCGCAGCATGCGCCACGTGATTCCATCCTTGCCAGGGGCGCTGCGCTCGTTGACAGAGTCCAAGGCCAGTGTCAATTCTTGAATTGTGAACGGGGCGTCTTGTTCTGTGTCGCTCGGCGGTTGCAGTTCGTACAGGGACAGGTCCGGATCGTTAGCAGGTTGTGGGAAAAAGGCCTTGGCGGCCGCTTCCTCAAACTGCTCCGGAGTTTGGTCTGTGGCTAGCTGGATGTTGCGAGCAGTGTTGGGCGCCTCGGTCTTGCCGGTCAAGGCTCTGTGGGCGCGCCATAGCTTGCGAGTGCCAGTTCGTTCGTCAAACGTCGCGCAGTGGTCAAGCCACCTCGAGCGAGCCAGGCGT